AAAATATCTAGTCCTCATATTTCAGTCACTTGTAATCAAGTGATAATCAAATATAGTAATTAAGACTTGTATAAGACATACAGGTTTAAGAAATAAGAAATGTTTAAATTAAGCAGAATTTCTTACCCGCAAATACATATCTGACAAATACATATCTCCTTATTAGTGAGCGGTGGCATTCCTTGTGTTGTATTAAAACTTTAATCACTTCACAAAAGTATCGATACTTTGAAAGTAAAATTCGTCTTATCGATCAATGTCTATGAGATTAATCATAAAGTCTTTTAAAAAGTTGGTTGAATGCGAAAATTTAATATCTATTGAATTGAGTCCTAGGAATTGATGCTTAACTTTGTGTCATTGGTTGCAGACTATGCATCAAATGCTTTTATATAAGTATAGTAACCATAGATACTTCGGGTTTGTGGCGTTTTTAATTATTAATCTAATGCTGTATTAATAAAATTTATGTTCATTTTTGTAGTCATTTGAAGATCAGACATATATTAAAAGAATAGCAATCCGTTGCACTCTAATAACCAAACCCTACAAAACTCAATCCTTTCAATAACTCTCATTCATTAAATAACTTTCATTCCGTAAATATTATACCAAATATTTGGTTCTCTATTAATATTCATCGTAAAGATTTAAATGAAAAGTATTATTTATCGTTAATGAAATAAATTGTTTTATATTAGAAAATTAATATAAAATACATTTTAGTATACAAAGTATTCTGAGAAAAGTTTTCAAAGAGTTTAATTTAATTTATTTATTTCGGATTCAATGGCTCCACAGATTCCCGATCCTCAGGAGGAAGAATGGCAAAGATTTTAGACTTCAATGTGTTCAACAGAGAGTTCAGTTGTGCTATTTTGTCCAAAATCTTATCAATTCTGGTGACCAACACCTTCATTGAGTCCTCATTTTGCTGAGGTTTGAGATTTTCTTTGCAAACGGAGAGAGGCTTCACTCTCTCCTCAAGTCTGACCAACAGTTTCTTGGTCTCCATGTAATCGCTTTTATCGATGAAATTCGGACAATAGATCTGTTTGTTGGCCGTCCACATGAACTTCCCGTTTGTGGCCCACAAACAGTCCAACGCATCACTGATCGCTTCCTCGCATTCTTTGGTTAATTGTCTTCTCTTCTCAATGTCTTCATTCGCTTTATTAGTGTCCGCTGTTGTATCCATTTTGCACCAAAAGTCTTAATTGTTAAATGAAGTAAATTGTAGTTTATATTTGAAAGGTTTTATTGTTACCAGGCTCAGTTCAATTCTTTTTGACCATTTTTCCCAACAGATCACCAGTTTGCAGGAAATTAAGATTTTAGCGCTAAATGTTACAGTTTATTATATTCTGTATAATTGGATACATATGTATGTATAATATATTATATAATATATTATAGGCCTTACAGTTTACAATATTACTGTACAGTATAATACATACTATTTACAATGTTTATGATGATGATTTAATTTATCAAAAATTTATCCTAATGTACTCTACATTAATTTAAAATATTAATTGTGCAATTTATTAATTAAAATTAAAGTAAAATAAATATTAATACTAAATTGTATGTC